TTCTTGTTTTTGTCTGCTCGCGCATTTATACAAAGAGACGGGTGATCCAGGACCTTCAATTCCGCAGGCTGGCCGGTGCTGATGATGGTGATGAGGCAATCGACGCCTGCAGGCTCTCTGGCGACGAAGACGATGAGCAAAAGAAACAGAGCCCGCCTCTTCCCAGCTTGCCTGCTGAGAATGAGGGTCATCTGCCCCTCAAAAAAAGAATTTTACTAAAAGCTGCTGGAAGCAGCGCAGCAGGTGAAGGAAGCAATCCCCAGCAGGAAGAGCAACAGCAGCAGCACGATGAACCTGCTTCTCGACCAGTTCAGCCAGCATCAAGGCCAGAGCAGCGTGGCTCCTCGCCGCGTCCGGTTCCCAGCTCACCGTCTTCAGCACAAGGATTAACATCAGAAGAGGTTGAGGCAGCAACAGGAGTGCTGCATCTCCCCCCTCACCAAGAGGCTGCTCCCTCTGTTGCTACGGGTGAAAGTCGAAAACATGAAGTGGAGGTGAAACGACTGCAACGACAAGTGCGGAAGCTGAGGCGGCAGCTGCGGAGAGAGCGGCGGCACCATCAGTGGGTCTTGCGCCGCCTGCAGCGGCAGGACGAACAGGCCGAGCTGGTTCAACGGCAGCAGCAGCAGCAGCAGCAGCAGCAGCACCTGCAGCTTCAGTACCTGCAATGGAAGCAGCTACACCATCAGCAGGTGCTGCTACAAACAGTAGCGAGCCAGCAGCAGCTGCAGCGTCCGCTCCAACGGCAGGAGCAGCAGAGCCCAGTGCAACAGCAGCAAATACAAGACCAGACACAGAGCTCAGAGCAACAGCAGCAAATGCAAGAGCAGCAACAGGATGCCACGATGAAGGAAAAGGATAGAAAACGTCGCAGGGAGAGACAGCAAGAGGAGGCGGGACAACCAGAGGCAAAGCGGCAGTCTCCAGAAGATGAATGGGTAGACTCGGACTCTGAAGAGCCTCAGCCGAGTTCCTCTCAACAGGCGTTGCAGCAATCTGTTGGTGCAGCAGAAGCAGCAGCAGATGGCTCCCCCCTCGCCCGTGAGTTGACTTCAGTACTCACTAGAAAGTCAGAGGAACCACGTGACCCTGGAGGCATTGAACAACACCCATTCGTTCGTTTACCGAGACGAATGGTGGCGACGGTACCGTCTTTTTATATGATAGACTTTCGGAACGCCATGCTTTGTAATGCACCCCGACGGGACGCGTTGCCGCTGCTGGCGCGGGC